CACCCGGGTCAAGCAAAATCGAGACCCTAACCCGACGGGTTTTAAGAAATTAGGACTCGTGACATAAAATGATAGTCACGACTCGAATTTTTTCTCGAGTCGGGTCAAATGACCCGGGTCGATTCGACCGGCTCGGAGCACTATCAGTTCCATTTCGTGTCCACACCGTTTCGTTACTAAGAAATATCGAAGTTTTTGCAATGATCTTTCCTGGGAGAACAGATAAGAATCAACTTAGCTCTGTATTCTTTTGCTTCCTGACGATCTAAAACATACCAAACTACTGGATTTTTTAAGTAGCTTTTGAATGCATGAACGTTTTCATTATCACCTGAAAAGACGATTTTCTCAATAAACACAATTTCTCTTTTACGTCAAGAATTCGTCATATACTATAACTTTTCTCTTTCACAGACCTGTAGTATATAATGAAAAGTAAGAAGGAATTAGAGGACGGTATCGGAAAGATAAAAAACGAAAATTAACAAAATAAATAAAAAACTACTAATATGAAAAATGGGTGTTCAAATGTAAGGAAAGGCGTGTGAAAAGAGACCAACTTCTCGAAGGAATTTTTCACGTGTAAGGCTAAGAGGATGGATAAGGGACCAAGTACTAAACCGTTGCTCTTAGCTTACACTAAGGATATCACTAGAAATGCTTCTCCTTTTAAAGATAAAACCTTTATACTAACCACATCCTTATACAAAAGCAGTTAATGAAGTAATGTGTGGTGAAGACACGATCAGAAGGACAGAAACTAAAGGGAAGCGATCACTAATTAACCCTGCCTAGAAATCGTTAAAGGAGAAATAGAAATAAAAAAAGATACTTCCCACAAATAATTGGCATACTGTCCGTATCCGTCACTAAAAGCACCTGGACTACGAAAAGTTAAACATTAAGAATTCACACTCTGTCGCTGAAATAACAATTATTGGGTCTATAGAATGAACATCCGGGCATAATTCCAGTAGGTCAACCTATATTTCGTGAATATTGTTGAGCTCGCAATCAGAATGACAAACAAATATAATAAATATCTTGTCATAGCGTGAATAATGTTGGAAGAGCGATTTTATAAAAAAAAGTTAGAATCAAGAGTTTAAACTGCACAGTTCCGCCAAAAAGAGAAGGAGCGACCTCGTAAAGATAATTTCTTTAGCACTAGTGAAGATTACGAGGGAAGTGATGAAGGAGGTGAAAGGAAGAGGGGAAGAGGAAAAATATGCTTAAGTGTTTGAGAGGTATGATTCTTTTATAATGAAAGAAAGCAGATATTATCAAAAAAATGTTTTTCCTATCCCAGAGTGCGCAATATTCTTGTTTCCCAATCAAAGATAAAATGTATTCTGGGGTAGTTTCCATGTCTGTCATATTTAAAACTTTCCAAAATTTTCTCCAGATCTTCATTACGCCATTTCTCTCTCTCTCTCTTGAGTTTTGACTAAATCAGTCTGCTTTCGCGTACCGTTTTTTTATAAATACTTTTATATTGTTAGTGATAGACGCACGGCACGATACTGCGCCTAACATAATTGACAAATGGTAATCTTAACGATCACGATTCACTGATTTCTCTAATTTCACTAATTTCTTACCGATCTCTAATTTCACATATTTCTTAGCGATCTCTAATTTCACATATTTCTTTAATATATTTAATCTCTTTATTTTCTTATATTTCTTATATTTCTTTACTATCTTAAATATCTATTTCATATTGATGTATTTTATATAAACATCTTGTATTTCTGCTTCAATAAATGGCAGAATCGCTACCAATTCTCTAATAAATCAATACATTTATCTCTAAAACTTATCTTTGCTCATTAAATAATTCATTCTTCTTTAAATCTATATCAATAAAGATGACCCGACTCTTCAATTTAATTATTCGTGTTTACTTCTTTCATAGTTTAGACGTACATAAACTCTCTGCTAACAAATAATCTTTGTTAACTTAATGATGAACAGTTTAGGCTTAATAATGTCTTGTGTCTTTTGTGTTTTGAAGTCATCTCAACTCTAAGGTTAATTTTTTTTCTATTATTACTGGGTTCGGTAAAATACAAATATTCCCTTTATTGTGGATGAAAGTGATCCTAGTATTTGTTTGTACCATGAAGCTTTGATGACAAGCAACTGAAGTATCAGACTATTATTTTAGATGAATGTCATTTGAATTGGTCACTTGTCTGTTATTAACTTTGTGGGGTCTAGGGAAGCACAGTAAAAACATTATCATGTTCTAGTTCTTGGTGATGTTTCTTGGTAGTGTCTCTTGGTGGGATTATCCTCTTGAAACTATGATACATACAGTAAAAGCATTGTTAAAGTATTGTTATATTTTAAATCTTGGTAATGTCTCTTAGTTAGGATTATCTTTTTGAGACTATGTAAAGCTATGTGTCTAATTTCTTTAAATCTTTAAAGTAATGATGCTGTTCAAAATCTATTTTAACATATAGCTTAAAAATTGAGAAACTATTTCAAAACCTTTAAAATACCTTTTTTTAAAATCTGAAACTTGATGAAATTTAATTGAGTTTAGGAAAACCTATTAGAAGTTTAAGTAAAGATATTTATTATAAACAAATAGTTTTATCTCAAATATCTCGAAATTCAAATTTTATAAAATAGTTTAGGGAGGCATTTTTATTTGAGAGTAAATTTTAGCAGAATAATACTATTTAGATAGCATTTGTTTAGATATCAGACTCTCTTTTGATCAAATCTGAATTAATTGATTTAATTCTTCCCATCTTCTCTTTTTTTATTATTTAGAATATTGAAATCAAATCTTATATTCAGAAATATTTTAAAACTTAATAAATTTCTAGAGCATGTGATTTTCAATCCAACTTACACCTACTCTTTAATTATTTAGACTACTATAATACTCGTCAAATCTACAAAATTAAGTTAAAACAATAAATTAATTAATATCTGACCTCTGATAATATCTTTCACCTTCTTTAATATTTAAATATAATGTTCTTTTAGAACTTTACTCTATCAATAATACTTATGTTTTATCAAAAGAATAGTTCCCTTGGAAATTTTAGATAAAATTTAGCATATTACAAAAATTCCAATATAATTAAATCTATATTATCATATATTTATCAGTTTAAAATGCAAAAATAACAAAAAAAATTTGTAGCGATAGATAAACAACCTAAAAACTGCTTCTGTTTATTAGAAGTTATCAAAGAAATTTTACTAATAAAAGACAAAATACTCAACAAGACTTTTTAATAGTTAATAATATTATTGAATCAATTTTTTCAACTATTTCTGTTGAAAAATCCAGAAATTATAAACATTGACACACTAACTGTTTCTTTTTTCTCCTTTATTACTAAAGAAAAACAACCAAAGAATAACTTAGCAACTAACAGATAAATAAAACTTTTGATAATGATAAAGACTTTAACACTTTAAAAAATATGTTAAATAAAAATACTGAAAAAATATTACCTATTTTAAACGAGACCTTGTAACTCTACTTCTTTTTGCTTATTATATTACAGATTTATTTGTTCCTGAAAAATCTAATCATAAAAAAAAATGCTACATGTGAATTTTTTATAACACTAATTTCTCTTTATCCATTAGTATATCAGTATGAAACTCTTCCTTTAATACAACAAAGAAATTTTTTTAAATTAGATTTGTAGTATGAAAAGATGCAGAAAAAGAAATTACACTTAAAATCCCTTATTTGAATAATAACACATTTTTATTTCTTTTACAAAACCACTAGCTAAATTTAAAAAAATTAATAAACATTACTGAAATCCTTATTATAGTTACTGATGTCAATATTAGAGTGGTATTCTTCTTTTTTAATATGATTGTCTACTGTTTTATGACCATTAAAAATTTGTAATAATAAGTCACCATTACTTATAATGATACCATAGATATATTGCAATTTTTTAAGATAGATAGTTACTTTGTTCTTAAAGACTTAGTTTACATTCATCCTTATATTTTATTATTATAATCAGTTCTTTAATATTGCTTAAATATTATAAGTGAACAGATATTATAGGTGATAAGCAGAAGGTTTAATTTATAGTTGAGATGAGATAAAGTATATATATTAATTATTTATTTGATATATAATAACAAATGAATATCGCATCAATATCAGCGTTCTGTACTGTATAAATATTTAATAGATCAAACTAAACTATCTAATAACTTAACTAAACTTATCTAAAATTGAACTGAAAAACTTTTTTGAATAAAAAAATTCTCAGTTATATTTATATAAAATAAAATATAGTCATACTCAATATAATGAAGTTGGCATTCAGACTGATCAGCTCTTCATTAAAAGAAAATTGATTATTACTATAATGAATTATTTGGTATAGTACAACGAATTATTTGATATAATAAATGACTGAAAAAGGAAAATACAAACATAATTTTACTATAATATAATTAAAGTTAATTTTATAATGTTATTTTATAAAATAACCTCTTCGCAGTTAAAGTTAAAGTGATCTTAAAGCAACTTTAATAATACAAAATTTGTAATTAATCTCAAATGAAAACATTTATAACAATAAATATAATTTATTTTATAATTAAAAATAAAAAAAGAATGGCTTTGTTTTAATTAGGATTCTGCAATTCAATTTAATATTTGAATATTTGATTTGATTTGATCAAATTCAAATCAAAGAATGATTTATTTGATCAAATCCAAATTAATGTTTGATTTGATTCAATCAAATTCAAATCAAGTATTCAACTATTGATTTGATTCTAATCAACAGTAAAGTTATCTCTAAAGCTTCAAAAGTGGCTTTTACTAAGAAAACTATAGTAAAAAGTATTTTCGCAGCTTTAGAAATGCCTTTTTTACTAAGAAAACTATAGCAAAAAGTGTCTCTGCAGCTTCAAAAATACATTTTTTACTAAGAAAAACATGGTAAAAATGCTTTCACAGCTTCAGAGATGTTATTTTACTAAAAATATAATAAAAAATGTCCTTGTGATTTTAGAGACATTATTTTACTAAGAAAACATAGTAAAAATGCCTCCTTGATTTTAAAAATACCTCTGCAGCTTCAGAAACGTTATTTTACTAAGAAAACATAGTAAAAAATGCCTTCACAGCTTCAGAAATGTTTTTTACTAAAAGACCTAGTAAAAAAATATATTCGCAGCTTCAAAAACGTTTTTTACTAATAAAATTGTTATGAAACTGAGATAGCGATTATTATTAAGTTTTCTTAGTAAAACTGAAGCTGTAAAGTTATTTTATTAAGTTTAATCGTAAAAATTACCTGTTACTAAACTTACTTTGTAAAAGCTATCTTTGAAATTTTTTAGTACAATTACTAATAATTTTCTTATTTAAAACTTTAGAATAACTTTATTTTAATATATCATTGTAAAAATAAAGAAAAATTATATTCAATTCGATTCGATTTGATTAATTTGATTTGATTTGATTTGATTTGATTAAATTCAAATCGATTCAAATCGATTCGATCAAATATTTGAGTTCAATTCAATACGATTTGATTTGATTTGAAAAAATCAAATCAAATTCACGTGATTCAAAGTAGGACTCACTTTAATTGGAGTAATTTATTTTTGAACAGAAGTAGCATTGATCTTTTTTGTTGCAATAAGAGATTTTGATGAACATAAAATAGTTTATTAGTATGTTGTTGTGAGATCCATATTTGAGAAATAATTTTTTTGTTAGCAGCAGTTATAGCAGTTTTAATATTATTTCAAAATGAATTCATATTATGATGATTTATCAGAAGGTCTTTGAGTCTATCAAAATTATAGCAATTATAATAAAACTTAAATATTCAGCATAATTATTCTAATAAGATAAGTTTATTGATTGAAGATAGAAACTTGTTATTTGTTCTAAAGCATATAAAACCTATCTTGTATTTGATAATAAAGATTAGCAAAAAATGCGAACACAATTTTATGGTCAGAAGAGTAGAGCTCAGACAAATCTAAAAACAAGTACAAAAAATCTGATATAAAGTTGGAAGAAGCAAAAATAGTATCAATTAAAGATGGGAACTGTAATTAATATGTTGCAACTTTTAATGTTGCAACTTACATTGCAATTAGTTTTAACTTATATATGTTGCAACTTATAATATTGCAACGTATGTTGCAACTAATTTTAGCTTACGTTGCAACATTTTGTAAATTTGAAATCAATTGCTGTACCATCTTTAGTATCAAT